GGCATATTTCCATCCATTTCAGCCAACTATCAACGGCGTGAATCAGTTCTGGAGGACTTAGCAATGTTCAAATCATCATCGTCAATATTGTTTTTCTGTCACAGAGATTGGATAAAAGCTGCAGGTATTATGACTTTGTGTGACTGTTTATTTGTAATAAAAATAAGTATTGAACTGCAACTATAACCAATCATTAATATTTAATAACAATTTCTAATATTGGTAATATCAACAACAAAATTACCAAATTGAATACCGATATTTCTATTTTAGTACTGATAAGCCAATTAATACCCGTATATGGATATTGGTGCATCGATCACTAGTAATAAACCTTCAAAGGCCATATTGCTTATCCATGTCATTGTTTTTTAGAGCTCCCTCTTGACTTATTAAAGACCTTGTCAAACAAGCTTAAATTTCTTGTAATTAATATACGTGAATATTTATTAACTGAAGATTCTAAGAAAAGAAAGTTTATTCTTCAGGTACTTTGATTGCAATATTTATACGTTTTGTATGAACCGCAAACCTAACCTCCAACTATTAACTGCAGCTCAAATACCTGAAAGATATAAGCAGATCGACTTCAACGATTCGAGCGAGGGGCCTAGCTAGCTTCATATACTAAGGGCTTGTTTACATGGAGGTAGGCCGGGTAACCCTATCAGGATGGTTACACTAGCAAGTGGGTCGACCACCCTAGTCTAATGTGTTTTATAGGTTATGCACTAGGGTTACCCTAGGGGTAATGTAACTCGAGCAGCATGGCTATCTTTTTGTTTACATAAGCCATGTAAACATGTTAGGTGGGGTTACTCTAGCAAGCGGGTCATGTTTTGTACATCCTACTGTGACTGCTAAACAAACAAGGAAGATTAAACATATTATCCTGGCAAATATTTTTAAACAACACTAGAAAAATAAAACAGATAAGCAAATTTATACACATAAGGAAGCAGAGGGCAAGAATGCTGAAAGAAACAGACTACAACATTGAAATGCAGCAAGCAAAGGCCCAAGAAATGGCATTGAAAAACTTTGCATTTTCCATTTTTTCAATACAGACGGCTTTGCGACCATGCATAGGTAGGGTTATCCTATCGGGCAACATAGCCCAAGCAGTAAGGTACCTTACCTCATAAGGGACGGACCATTAGAAAAGTGATTTTAGGGCAAAACCAAAAAAAAAATTTATTCCCAGAAAAAAATTAGGAAGAAAAAAATCTTCCCATGCAGGCATAGTGCAAAAAAAATTCCTAGCTTGGAAGATAAGCCTATAAATTTCACTTAAAAAAAAAATTTCCAGCCATCAAGTGAGAAAAAAATATTTCTTCTATAGGTGTACAAAAAAAATATTGCCTCTTAGAAAATCCCCACCCCCCATCACTTTTCTAATGGTCCGTCCCTAACTAAACGCTTACTATTTTCTGACCCACTTGCTATCAGCTAGGGTAACCCTCCTGATAGGGTCACTCTATATCTCCATGTAAACAGGCCCTAACTTCCCAACGATGAGCCTTCTGCTTATTTCTTTCAGGTAGTTGTATTAGTGCTGGTTAATATTTCACAGGGCCTAGCTATGGCATATTATCAGCGCACAACAACATTTTAAACACTAAATTCAGAAAGATTCAAAAATCCTGTTGTATTTCATGAATTGGAAAGTTGAATGGTAACGCCTTTGAATATTATCAGCATAACCGTTCAACTTGGATGACAATGCCTTTGAATATTACTCGCATAACCATTCAACTTGGATGGTTATGCCTTTGAATATTATCTGTGTAACCATTCAACTTCGATGGTTATGCCTTTGAATATTATCAGCATAACCGTTCAACTTGGATGTCAATGCCTTTGAATATTACTCGCATAACCATTCAACTTGGATGGTTATGCCTTTGCCATGGTCCACTTTAATTTAAACGAGTAAGCGCGGGGCCCCCAAAAGCGCGGGGCCCGTGGCATATTGGCCTTCTGCCATATGGTTATTCCGGCACTGAGGCCGCGTTTACACTATAACGCTACGGCTAATACTCTGTTAGAAATTTACTACGTTAACTTTCTAGTAGGCTATATTGTGTAAAACACTATAATGGAGTGATTTGCCGTAGCGTACTTACTGAGGACCACTACATTTGCCACTCTGAATACAAATCAATTTCGTTTAAAATTCACTACGTTTCTCAGTATTGTGTACGAATACACATCCGGGACTTGAATTTCCCCCCCAATAGTCGCGTTCCTTTTTTTTACTGAATTAAGATTACAATGCCTCCTCTAGTATTATTTATAATCTCTATGGTAAACGCGGCCTGAGTTGTATCTCTCTTATACTGCAGCCGTTTAGTTGCAACTGTAGTGTAAGCAACCACTAATAAGACTGTGTTTCTCATATTTTAGGCAATTTATGAAGATCTTAGTGACATAGCTCAACTAAATGATAAGATACGGACTTCTCCGCTGAAGAGTAATTCAGCATTAGTGGCGCGCATTATTCACTGTCATAAGTAAGTCAGTTTACTATGTCTTAGACTTAACAAACTTCATATGACTGAGCGTATAATTTCGCAGAAATATCCTTGACTTAATTTCTTTTTTCATGTAATTCACAAGCACAGTACTATATCTTATTGTAGAATACTACCTACACTGGACGGTTTGGACCACCACGTTTGAGATATCTTTTTTCAGGTAGTGCAGGCACAAACCACAGCAGCTTATTGTAAAATGCTATCTACACTGGACCACCACGTTTGAGATATCTTTTTCAGGCAGCAACCTTGGTAGTTTGTTTTAGAATACTAGCTGGATCACGACGATTGCAGTTTACTTGGTGGAATTAATATTAGAATGTTAGAATGTTATGAATGTTAGAATGTCAGAATGAATGTTAGAATGAATGTTAGAATGTTAGTGTTGAATATTAGAATGTTAGAATGTTGGAATGTTTTGTTATGCTTGACCATATATTACCTGTGGTTATGGTTGAGACTACCCGAAAATTAAATTTAAATGGAAGTGAGTTTTAACTAGCATACATTTTTCTTTTTTTAGTCTAATGTGTTTGGCGTTTGAAAGACTACGTGTGATTCGTGAATATAATTCGCCCCGGTCTCTGCGTGCCTTCACGAAAGTATTTATCTTCCTAATGCCGCTCCTGCTGTCTCCATATTACGTCTTCAGCGGTCGTCAAACTGAGAGTGCATGGACTCCATATTATATCAGTGTAATGGTTTCATTTCTGTACGGGTCACTTCAAGCTGTGCAAGATAAGCTGGATGATCCGTTTGATGGAATTGGCGAGGATGATGTGAAACTAGGACAGGTAGACATTTTTAATGTCCAGTTAATGCCCGTTTACACTTTTCTTCTCATTCATGTGAATGAGTAGATGAATTATGAATATTCTGAGTATATGTACCCTCATCTGAACATTCATAACTTATACACTCGTTCACATACATCAGAAG